GCAAATGCAAAACACGGACGGGCAGGCCTTTCTGGAATTCTTCCGGCTTACCTTTGTGAGTCTGCAGAACGAAGGAGAGGAGATTCGAGCCATGCGGTATTCTCAATACGTCGAGTCTATCCCTATGTGGGCACCTCCTCTGTTGGGCTACTATGACGCAGATGTGCGACAGGGGACAGAAGGTCTTCTCTATATGTGGTTCGAAAACCATGACTTGCTCGACGACGAACACGAAAGTTTGGCGGTTGCTATGAACGCAACGGCACGAAAACTTGCCATGAGCTGCCTGGTATACCTTCAAGAATACTTTGTCAAGCGGCGTGCACAGGTGGCAAAGCATTCCACCGAACACCTACAGGCCATTATTGCCAAGTGCGAACCTTTCTTTGGGGTCGATCTGGGGCCCGAAAATGATCGCCTCATTACCTTCGCAGAGTACCAAAACCTCTACCACTGTAAGTAAACAGGTGTTCGATGACGGAGTTACTGCTAACACATGATGTTAGCTGTCCTTGAGCCATTGCGCCGCATGACGGTTGAAGAATTGGAGGATGAGGGTTCCGGTATGTCTCCAGGACTCTACAGTGATTCGGACACCCTCGGCTCAGAACCGTGACGGCTGACTGAACGGCCGTGAAGACTGGGAGAATTCGTGCGGATCCTCTGAGCAGCTGGAAAGCATTGCAGACATCAGCATGCAGGCGGCTGGCGACCTTCCAGAGTCGGATCTTCAGTGACGATAACCGCCGGCGACTCTGACGAATTAAATGACTACGACATTACTTGTGAACATAACTCTGGTGCGACGTGGTAGGAAACAGGCCAACCGCGTATGGCGTCTAGGAGATGAGGGACGGGTTCTGAAATTAGCAGCACAGAGCAGAGCGCTATACAGGGACGGCGGAAGCTTCTTGCATTTACATGGCGTGTAGGCGTTCTAGGACCCAGGGAAGGGTAAAAGTTTTCCATGTCCAGCAGATGGGCAGTAACGGCCGAAGGAACAGGGTATCAAGGTCCGGTTCATACATGGATTTTGACGAATTGCTGTAAACTGGGTCTTTTTATTGGACGTATGACTAGGCGGACGCGGAGATTGCGAAGGAGTGTGTGATAGAGCCACAGCTGTGTCTTGATTTCGAGATCAGCGTTATCAGCAAGACCCTCGCAGCGGGTCTCATAGAGGGATATCAAGTCTAGGAATTATTTTTGGCACAGTTGCCTAGTCAAAGCAAAGTAAGGGAACAGCGGTGATCAAGCAGCACCCGGCGGCTTTTGCGAGTGAGTGGATATGGGATCAGGTAATGTGATGATGAGCGGTCAATATAGTGATGATGCAACGAAAGGTTCCAATATCAGTTTTTGTCAAGCGGCTTAAAGGAGTTTAAAGTGACGGTGACGGGAGGATGGATTGGGTCACGATGGCATTTGTGGCTCCCTCGTAGCCGCCGGGCCAAAGAGGGGGAGGGGAGTGAGAAGTCCGGGACTGGGGGTAATGTGCCTACTTGCAGAAAATGGAAGTCTAGGTTGGATTCCATTGGTGAGGGACAGGGGTTGCTCAGTGCGCTTACCGAGTGGGCACGTGGAGAGATCTACGAATATTCTTGGAGAAGGGAAGCTCTTTTTCTGCTCTGAAAATAGAGGAGTTTACATTGTCATGTCTGGGGTGCGGATGGATCATGGGATTAGATGTGGCGAGCATTTGGGGGATAATAAGGTGAGAAACCGGCGTTTATGGGAGTTGATGAGTAGAGGTTTGGCGATAGGCTGGAGGGGTTTTTGGGCGGGGTTAGATAGAGAGCTAGAAAGCGCCGCGGGGATGATTTCATGATGTGCGGCTGAAGGCTGGAATTAGACTCTAATGATGACATGGAAAGATGGATGTGGTGTTTCTCGTTTGTCGTTTGGCTGAGCGCTGCAAGGTCGCAGGCCGCAGGTCAAGCGGCCCGCACGAGAGGTGAAGAAGCGAAGCCGATGGAGGGGAGGGCATTTCGGGTTAGCGGAGCGAGGATGATTTCACAGCAGTGGATGGAGGAGGAGCGGTTGCGATTTCAGGCCGAGATGGAATAAGTGCCGGGATCTTGGTGATGTAGGGTAAGATGAGGAGGTTTCCTTGGAAGGTGCTGGAGGGGGGGGGAGACAACTTGTTGCTAGTTGTGGTTATGGCCGCGGTTACGGTCGATGTGGTTCACGAGAATCTTGGTTTACGAGGAGGGGGGTTGCCATTCGATGTTTTGTTCATGGGATGATGGGTGACGTCTACGGTGTATGAGAAAGCGAGATTTTGGGGAGGGGCTTGAATGGACCAAGGTAGTCTGGACTTTGGAAGCTCGTCGGTATCGGGGCTCATCGGGGACCGGCGAGCTTGCTACGTTCCGGGGCGGGGAACGGTGGGTTTCGGGGGCGGTGCTTGGCGGGACCGTCGGCATTTGTGGGAGTTTGGGGGGTATGGGTGGGATGTGAGTGAACTTGTGATACCCTTCTGGTGTTGTTGGGTGAGAGGGTGGAGGAGGTTTCTTGGGAATGTGGCGATGGTGGTGCTGGTGAGTTGTGAAATCGACGATGCGGTCGCGGGGTAGAGAGGAAATTCCCTTGGCGGGTGTTTGGCTGGGCGAAACAAAGTTGGTGATGTTCGTGAGAAACCAGGAGGAGGGATGAATGACGCGGGCGGCACCTGATGAAGCGGGAAAGCGGGAAGAAAGAGAAACAAAAAAGCAGGTTTTGGCGGGTTGTTTGACGGTTTCGTGTGGTTGCTATCAAATGGGAAGATGATGGGATGGAGGCTCGGCTCACTCGGTTTACTTACCTTACCTTTGTACATGAACTAAGGGGGGGGGAGGGGAGGGTGAGTTGAAGTGACGTGCTTCAGAGTTTTGGTGTTCCACACCATTGGGAGGGGATTAGCAGCGCAGTTCAAGGAAGAGGAGATGGTTGTTATGCACTTACTAAGAACATCGGATGAAGGCGAGGCGCAGGCGCGGGGAACGCTGCCGGTGGGTGGTGGTGTCGAGAGACGGTAAGGTGAGGTAAGGTAAGGTAGTTGGGGGTTCGTTTTCTCGATACGATGTGATGGGCGAGTTGTCTGACTGACAAGATCTTGGCGGGCTGTTTGAGCCAAGAACAACAGTACCGCGGCGAAAGAGAAAGAGAATACGATGCTGGTGTAGAGCGTATCCACGAGGATTGAGATAGCGATGGAATTAGACTTGATCTCGATCGCGCGGTATGGGATGATGGAGTGAAGTTGAGATGACAATGTCACGAGATGGTAAAAAAGAGCCAAGGTGAGGAGTTGTGGCTTTGCGACAAATTCGAGGGAAACCTTCTTTTTTTTTTCTGCCTAGTATCGACTCGGGGAATTTACAATTCTATATTGTTGCCTTGGCCTTTTTCGGTCTTGTTTTGTTGATACACCTTTTTGGTCAAGTTGGTAGTTGCACATTGTATCCTCGACAAGAATTGCTTCCAAATGGGCGACGGACAAGAAGAGCGCAACACGCCAAGCGGCTTGGCCCCGTTTCCAGTTGCCCTCGTCAATGACTCTCCCACTCTTCTGTTCCCTGCAGAGTACTCTATCTGTACGCAACTCATCTCTTCTTTTTCTCCTTCCATCGTTGCAATCTCGATGACTGGCCGCGATATTGATCAACTGCCAAGCTTCGTTACAAGCCCGACAACGTGGTAAAAGGTGGAGAGAGTAACAGAGGGGCGGCAATTTATCTCGAGCGGCATCTCGAGACGAGACGTTGTCACCGCAAAAGGTTTGTTCTCCTGGGGTAAATTGAATTGATCGATGGATCGCTCGATGTTCTGTCAATCTGCGTCCTTCGGGTCTGATAATTTTCCCGTGGCCCTACTCAGGTACCTGACGTTGTTGAGGTTCTGTCACGGCCAACCTTCAAGTAAATTGAGCCAAAGCCAACACAACCCCACGTCCATTGAGGCATCTTGGCATAACGGCCAGAAAAGTTAATTTACTTCCCGCTCGCCGCACTAGCGATTTCTCTCTTTTGGCCGCCCCCCAGTTGTCCCAAATTGTTCGGACTAAAGCAAAGTCAAGAAGAAGGAAAGAAAGTATGTGATGATGTACTTTGGTCCCGCCAGAGTTTGAAAGATTGTTGCGCTATTGTTTGGAAAAAGGGAACCCGCTTTACCAAAGTAGTTCTTTGTTCAACGTCCTTTCGTCGTTGGCGATCCTCGTAAGCGACCCTCGTTTACCCTGACGAACGTCGAAATGCGACCCCCCCCCCTTTCTTTGTCCCCATGTTCCACAAAGAACAAAGCAGTTCGCCGTTACTGGCGGCCATGCCTCCCACGAGTTCGCCATCGCCGGCTCCCACATAGGAAACGGTCCATACCTCCACCCCTATCCCACCCAGCAGGCTGGCTGGCTGGCTTCACCGCGGCGTTGGGTGAAGCGAGAGAGAGAGAGAGAGAGAGAGAGAAAGAAAGAAATGCCATGCGGTGCCGTGCCACGCCACGCCACGCAGTAATCTATTTTTGCGACGCTGGCGAGAACGGCGGGCCCGCGCAAGGTTCAAGCAGAAGATCCACCTGGCACCATGGGATCCTTGAGATGGGATGGGAATCATGGGATAGGAGCAGTGAGCACAGAGGAACTGACCCCCCCACAATCATCATGCACGTATACCCCTGCACCGGCACACAGCGCCCACCACGTCGATCCAAAAGTCGATCCCCGCGCTCCGTTAGAATGACACATGATTGGTCTGTTGTGTGCAGACGACCAGTGACAGATTGCTGAAAATAGCAGCGTAGCCGCCCAGAGGGACGGGACAAGGTGACGCTAGAGCAGTGATGCAGCTGGAGGGAAATTCTACGATTGGATGAATGGGATGAGATTACATGAAAGACTCAGGAAGCAGGGCGAACAGACGGCTTTTCTTTGCAGACTTTCGATGCCCAAAATGACTATTGTCCAGGGGAAAATGCGCTCGCAGTGGTGCATCTGATCTGGGCCGTATCTTGGGTCCGGAGAATAAGGCACATTCGGGATCGTTGATTCGCTCTTCAACCTGTCTAGTTTGATTTATTTCTGGGAACTTTCTCTCTCGTTTTCATTTTTAGGTACGGGGACGCGGGAATCTCGTGTGATGGAAGTTGCAGTAGCTTCCATTGAGAAGCCCGTTTCTCGCTCAACTCGCTCACACTCACGACTCTTGATTTAGAAACATGATTGATGAACTAAGCTCCATCTCACCCAGTCTTATTACCAGGCAAGGCAAAGTGAGGCAGCTTACGGGACGGCATGAAGTCGTACACGTAGGTCGTCAGGTAAATCGAGCTTAGCTCACCTCACCTATTGGGGACAACGGCCGACGCTCTCAACTTCAACGGTCCCTCACAATAATTAGTATACCTTTGGTATGGTGCTAGGTCAAGGGTCGAGAACGCGTGGTATGGCTGGCGGCACGTTTGATGACGGGCTGAGATAGATGACAGGCGGGGCCGCCTCGGTTGCTGTTTCCAGGTTTTCTCCACCCCTTCTTTCTTGTACCTCACTTTCGCCCGCCCATGTACCGTAGGCCAATTCCTTCACTTGTGTCTCCCACATTCCTTGGCAGAAGCTCGTTGTCGCCTTTACGTGGGGTGTCAACTGTCTAGGTTCTAGGTACCTGTGTGGAGGGGACGGGAAGGCCATGACTGAAAGGTGTGCATCACTGCATGGCATGTAAACTAAAGACGAGAAAACGAGGAAGATCATGAAACAAATCCTCGCTCGCCTATCCATAGCTCCCCTTTTACACTCTCCTCGCCGCCGCCGTCTCCTTTGGGAACCCCTGCTTTCTATGTAGATAGGTAGGCACCCCTGCCATGATCAGAAAGCCAGAGCCACGATACGCACGCGGCACACCACGTCGTCCAACATTGTCATCTAGAAGAGACGGGTTTCATCTTTCTTTGGCGCTGAATGAGTAGTCCCACGCACCTACGTCGACGACCGGTAGAGTTTCCCTTGTCACGTACGCCACGCCACGCCACGCCACGCCAAACCTTTTTTTATCCCACTTTTTTTCTGATCTTCGTCTTCCATGTCTTCCATCATCGTCACCGCCGCGGTATTGTGCCATGTCCCTTTCTCACCGCACCTCTATGCGACGGGTACCTCATGTGGTGGTAGCGATTGTGTGCATCTCCAAGGTACCTCACCGGCCGGCATCTGCGGGGGTCCGCGGGGGGGGGGGGGGGGGGATACATAATAGAAAGAAGAGAAGACCCATGTCCCTGGCACCTATTCGTAAGTGTCAGTGGGGTTCAACGTCCGAGGTATCTCATCCATACCTTGTGTACGAAGTACATCGGCAGATAGCTGCTTTCCCCTTCGGGACTGATGGGGACTTACACACCAAAGGAGGAGGCGGCGGCCACACGCCCACCTCATTCTTCCTCTTTACCCATAAGGCTGTTTTGAGTTGCATCGCAGCAACAACGAGACGGGCTTACAAGGAGGGGGGGCGCAACGGGGTGGGCTCCTCCTGCATACGAGTTCGGAGTGTGCTCTTCTGCGTCTTGTTTCAGATTTTTTTTGGGTAAACCCTTTTAACCCTTTTTGGGGGGGTTACATGCAAGTTGCCAACAGGCCGGTTTGTCGATATAACCTCACCATCCTCCCCCTCCAAGATGTAGAAAAGATATTCCAACAGTAGTATTTTGGTGTTTGTGTTTTCTCAACATTCGCGCAAATCTAAGCCTGGCGCTCAGTGTCTCCTTGTCACACTCTCTTCGAATAGTTCCTTTTTAGTAAAATTGTAACCTTCATCGACCTGGCGTCACCTATTTCGGCTTTTCTACTACATTTATTTCTTATCGAACACGAAGAGAAAAACTTCTAACCAGAACCCACCCAAACACAATGGATCTGAAGAGTCGCATCTCGTCGCCTCTGGAGGCCGGCACCTCTATTCTCGACGTCCAGCACTTGCCGCCCCATCTCAACGAGGCTCTCGAGTACGCCTCCAAGCGCCTCGCCAGAAAGGCCCTCCACGTCACCCTCGTCGTCGCCCGCCGCGAGTACCAGCTTCCCACCCTCGTCCCCTCCTCCTCCGCCTCCTCTTCGGCCTGCTCCTCGGTCCTCTCCTCGCCGACAATGTCGCCGGTCCCGGCCTCGGCGTCCAGCACCTCTTCCGTCTCGTCTTCGTCCTCCCGCTTCAACTTCTCCACGAAATCGCCTGTCTCCTCCTTCAAGAAGCTCGTCCGCACAAACACCGGTTCCAGCGTCTCTTCCGTCTCCTCCGTCTCGTCGGCCGGCAGCAGCAACGCCCCCGAGAGCTTCGTCTTCACGCCCTCTTTCCTCATGGACACCAACGGCCCGAGACTGAGGTGGCCCCTTTCACCCGGCATCCCCCTCTCCCCGCCGCCCATGACGCCCTCGACGGCCTCTTCCACCATCACCGACGCTTCCGGCCCCATGTCGCCCAACCCCTTTGGCATCCGCCTCGTCCACGCCGACCTGCTCACCGACAAGCAAGAGAGGACTCTGCGCCAGACCATTGATCGGGCAGAGAGGAAATTCCGCATTGGGTACGTATCTGCCCCCTAAAAGCCCATCAATCACCCCACTAACACACTCTCCTCTTCAGAACCGAATGGCTCCCCCCGGTAGTAGACGGCTCCGCCTGTGGCTTAACAAGCAGCCTCATCCGCCGCTCCATCGTCCAAAACGAAGTCCTCTTCGCTTCAGAGGGCCTCACCCTCGTCTCCCTCGACCGCCTCTACACCTTCAAGGCCGCCCTCTCAAGCTACTCCCGCACAAACGCCCCTCTCCGCCTCGAAGACGCCGTCGACGAGCTCCGCCGACTCGTCCTCTCCCGCGCCGGTAGCAAGGTCGCAAAGTCGGACATCCTCCGCTCCTACGACTGGCTCAGCGTCACCGACGTCGCGCTCGCCGACGTCGACAAGATGTACCGTAGGGCCTACGGCGGTCCCGACAGGGTAGGCGCCATCGAGGGCGTCGGCGCAGCGGCACAGGTGGCGAGGACGGTGAGGGAACTCGAGCGCGAGGTCGACGAGACGCTGGCTGGCACCGCCGCCATGGACGCCATCATCCACATCGCCAAGCCGCCTTCGCCGCCAAAGGGCCCCGTCCTGAAGCTGCAGACAAACTTTGACGTCCGGAACATGGTGGCTGCGCCGATGGAGGTCTCAGAAGAGGACGAGGACCTAACCGCCCGGCCGGAGCGTCAGCCGCCCGTGTCCATCTGGAGCCCCGTCTCCATCGCCGAGGTCCTTCACGAGGACCGCCGCAGCCAGTCGGGCCCGATGACGCCCAACGGCTACGATGATATCTCGCCCATTACCCGCGGCGAGTGGGGGTTCCTCATGGGACCTGCCGGCGTAGGCAGCGGCCGCACCGCCCCTGTCATGACTTGCTGAGCGTCGATTTTGTCCATTTTCTTGTTTTCTTGCTGCTTGTTGAAACCACGAGAAAAAGATGTAGGAACGGTTTGGTGCATTCTTCTCTGTGTGTAAGATAGCTTTTTTTCTTTCTTTCAAGTGTCACGACCTTCACGAGTACATTTTTTCTTCTTCTTCTGGGGATACCAAGTCGGGGCGACGCCAGACATCATGTACATTACCTGCATTAAAGAGGCAAAAAGGGCAAAAGCCCAAAATTTTTGAAACAAGAACAAAGATTTTTCATCAATAAGATCTCTCATCAATTCGGGTATCATACTTGACTCTCTGACTCTCTTCTCCTACCATCCGTATCGACTCGACGCCTCCTTCCTGTTGCTCTTGCCCTTGGCGAAGCTGTCCTCGAGGGCCTCGCGCTGATTCTGCACCTGGTTGACGAGCTGCTGCAAGCTGTGCTTGCCCGGGGCGATGGCCCGCACGGGGTTGTGAATCTGCTGTTGACCTGCGGCGCGGATCTCCTCGTTGTGCTTGTACTCCTGGTCCGTGTTGAAGTTGATGACCCTCGACGCCGTCTGCGGCGCGGCGCCGATGTTGCCGCCCTTTTGGCGGCCGAATAGCTCGCGCCTGGCTGCTGCTGAGAGGTTGAGGTCGTTGGCGATGGTGTCGAGGGAGTCTGACGTGTTGGGCACCGTCGTCGGGGCCGTGAAGTGCGCTTGTGCTGCGTACTCTGCGTAGCCGTTGTCCGCTGCAGCCGCCTGCTCGGTTTCGAAGAGAGGCTCGTATGCGCCGGTTGTTTTAGTCGTGGTAGCGTCTGTCGATGTCTCTTCGGTCTCTATGGAGAAGAGGGAGACCTTTTTGGGTGCCGGTGCTGGTGCCGGTGCAACCTCCGGCTCTACAGTCAACGTCGATGCGGGCTTTGGTGCCGTCGCTACTGGGGCCATAGAGGCCACTGTCTTCTTTTTCTTGGTATTCCGGGCCACGGAGAGAGGCTTGAACATCATCGGCTTTCCCACCAGCTTGACCTCGTCGGCAGGCTTCATCCCCTCTGGTATCGACGGTTGCGCCTGGGCTTTGGGCGGGGGCAGGCTGAGCCCGCCGGCCGCGGAGCCTGGCAATCCATCCGTATCTGATCCTCCTTTTTCTCTGCTGAATCCAGGTTCCGCCCCTGTTTTGAGTTGGAACGCCGGCCGCAACGAGCTTCCGTTGCTGCCGCTGCTTTGCACCGAAGCAGCGGCCTTTGCGGCAGCGTTCTTGGGCGCTGGAAGGAAAGAGTTGAAGCCGCTGAACCGACCTCCACTGTTCCCTGTACGCGCGCGTTTCGCCGGAGGTTCGTCGTTCGACAGGGTGGCCTTCGAGGCTTCGGGTTGTGTTGATGGCAGACTGACGACGATCTTGCCTGGGTTCGATCGGTCGACGACTTTTTGGAATGGCTTTTTGCCTGTGGCGGTGGTTGTGGGCTTCGAGACTGTTGGCTTGACGGGTGCCTCATCCTCTGATCCGGAGGATTCTGAGTAATCAACCAAACCCATGTTCGTTGAAATTTAGTGCTTTCGTGATATGGATTAAAGAGATGATGCGACGGTTGTAAAATGCTACAGGTCAACAAGGTGCAAAGTGCAGCACTGTAAGGCTGGTCACCAATTCCAGGACCGTGCGTCATTGTCGTGCACGAGCCACATCTTCAACACTGTTGTTTCACAAGGCTGAGGGAGGCACGACAGCACCTCGCAGCTACCCCTCGGCAGCCGCTTGCTTCCTTCTTCTCACACTTCCCACCAAACTTCCTTTGCCATCTTGTGAGCTGAGCTCGCAATTATGTTCTTTTCCCGACCGCGGGCGTGGCTTCTTTCGATCTGACAGCCCTTGGGATGATTCGTTCCTGATCGTTTCCTTTCATTCCCCGTTGATCGGTAGCTGCCCATTATGTCGGTCATTCAGAACGAAGAGTAAATGGACATAACTTTCTGTCGCTGAGAGACCTTACTGATTTTTACTTTGAAAAGGCTAGTCGCGTACCAGCTACGCTGCGGCTACCTCACTGAGATCGCCGATGGAGTGGGAGAGCGACTGATTACCCTTAATGAGGGGTTCATGAACTCCTCGGCTTTCAAGGCGGTCGCATGGCAAGCCAACCCCGATCTCGTCAAACGATGTTACTCCCCTCCGATTCCAACTGCGATTGCCTCCGAATATTTCCAAGCCCCACGACAGGTTGGAGTGACCCTCGAAGATGAGCCCGACGAAGCTGGCATGTTGACCGGTGGAGGCACCGATACGCTTGGCCCCGGTCTCGCTACAAGAAGAAGGAGAAGGCGGGAAAACTTGGAAGATGACGATAGTAGCGATCTGAGCGATGAGAGTGACGACGACGACGCCGGCCAGCGAGCGGCCCAACAGATCAAGTTCGCCAAGATGCCCGTCCGATCGAGGGCCGGGTCCAGTCCGATTCAATCTTCGCAAATCAAGCAATCCCCAGCCATGTCTCCTCGCGCAGCGCCCGGTGCACGTCGAGGCTCGCAATCTGCATTGGAAGTCGTCAAGGAAAGAGCACGGAGAGATACAGTGACTAGCAGCGAGGTGTCATCCGAGAACGAGTTTGACGCTTCTGGTTTCC